TTTCGGGTTAAGCTTCATGTTGTACTTTCTCAAGATTTTGAATGTTTCCTGCAAAGGAGTTAGATGGTCCGCTGCGTGTAGGGACTTAAGCAACATATCGTCAATGTAAACTTCCATCGATTTACCTATCTGTTCCTCGAACATCTCGTTAACTAGGCGTTGATATGTAGCTCCAACATTTTTTAGCCCGAAGGGCATTACATTGTAACAGTATGTTCCAAACTTAGTGATAAACGAGGTCTTTTCCTGGTCCTCCGGGTTCATCTGAATTTGATTGTACCCTGAGTAGGCGTCGAGAAAGGCTAGGATCTCGTGGCCGGCCGTGGCATCGATCATGCGATCGATGTTAGGCAGGGGAAAAGAGTCTTTAGGGCAAGCCTTGTTTAAATCCTTATAATCTACGGGCATTCTAAGTTTGTTTGCCTTTTTACGAACTACAACCACGTTGGTTAACCACTCGGGGTATTTTACCTCCCAAATAGACCCTATTTTAAGCAGTTTGGTTACCTCATCCTTTATGAATGCATGCTTCACCTCGGACTGGGCCTCCTTTATTGCTTTACTGGTTTGAATCTGGAGTCTAGGCTTAACCGGTGCGTTGTTATTTCTGGTGGGATCCCTGTCATGTCTAAATGGGACCAAGCAAAGCAATCCAAATTATCGATAAGAAATTGAATGAGTTTTTTCCTGAGTTCGGGGGTTAACCCTGTTCCCAAGTATACCTTTTCCTCGGGCATGTACTGGATTAGTATGACCTATTCCAGTTCCTCGACTGTTGATTTGGTTGCATCTGACTCTTCAGGAATGACGAAAGTTCGAGGAGTAAGGAAATCCTCTTCTTCTTCTTCGATTACATGTTCCTCCGGTTCGGTCGAGGCTGGGGTCGGAGATAGCTATTTGGCCGTCTGCTTATCCTTGGTGCTCGATTTTACTGAGGTCGAAGGAGCTGGTATTGGTATCACCTCATCGACTGCAAATATTTCCTTTGCAGCGTGTTGTTCTCCGTAAACCATTTTCACACCATCCATTATTGGGAATTTCATCATCTGATGAAGGGTTAAAGGTACTGCCCTCATGTTGTGGATCCATGGCCTCCCGAGTAGTGCATTATATCTCATTTCGCCTTCGATTACATGGAATTTCGTATCTTGGATGGTCCCGGCCACGTTTACTTGGTAGGATTATCTCCCCCTTAGTTGTTTCGCTTGACATGTTGAAGCCATTTAGGACTCGGGATACAGTTACAATTTGGTCCTATAGGCCGAGTTGCTCTACGACCCTCGATCTGATTATGTTTGCTGAACTACCTGGATCCACTAGAACACGCTTAACTTGAATTTTATTTAACAAACTAGGGCGTCATTGTGCGGCTGAGATATGCCTTCCACTTCCTCGTCATTGAATGATAAGATGCCCTCGGGCACATGGCTCCAAGTCCGTTTGTCTCTGGTAATCGACACCTTGGTGTGTTTGAATATAGGCCCTTGAGGAACATCGACACCAACAACGATCATATGAATCACATGTTGCGGTTCTTCCTGCTTGTTTTTTCTTTTTGCATCTCTTTCCCTGAAGTGGTTCTTAGCTCGATCATTGAGAAACTCTCGAAGATGACCCTCGTTGAACAATCGAGCTACTTCCTCTCTGAGCTGCTTGTAGTCTTCGGTCCTATGGCCATGTGTGCCATGATATTTACACATCAAGTATGGATTCCTCTGAGAAGGATCGATTTGTATAGGCTTGGGCCACCTGGTGTCTTTGATTCTTCCAATAGCTGACGCGATCCCTGATGCATCTACACTGAAACTATACTCCGATAATCGATGTGCTTTAACGGGGTCCGTATGTTTATCAAAACCATTCTTACTCATAAGTCCCCGAGAGCTTTGACCTTGATCATTTCTTCGATCGTTCCGAGGAATGTTACACCTCGAACCATTGTTTCTCCGATCGATATATGGCTGATACCGTTCTTTGTTTGATCTCGATTCCCTATCCCTATCCCTTGGGGCCTTAACTACCAATCTATTAGGATAAATTGAACCTGAGGGGGCTCCCAACTGGTCGTCCTCGACCCTGATCTTCGACTAGTAACGATTATGTATGTCTGACCAAGTTACAGCTGGGTACTCGATCGGATTTTGCTTCAATTGTCATGACGCGATCGAACTCCACTCGTTCAAACCCTGCATAAAAGCTTGTACTACCCAATCATTCGAGACTGGTGGTATTTCCATTCGCTCCATTTGAAATCGGGATACGAACTCCCTTAACATCTCATTGTTCCTTTGTCTTATCTTAAAAACGTCTGATTTCCATGTCACCACCTTTATGGCCCCGGCATGTGCTTTCACGAAGGCGTCTACTAACATAGAAAATGAATCGATAGAGTTCGGAGGCAAGTTGTGATACCAAATCATGGCTCCCTTTGACAAAGTTTCCCCAAATTTTTTCAACAATACTGATTCGATCTCATTATCATTCAAGTCGTTTCCTTTAATCCTGCAAGTATATGAGGTAATAGGTTCATTAGGATCGGTTGTTCCGTTGTATTTAGGTATATCGGGCATGCAAAACTTTTTAGGAATGGGCTTTAGAGCCGCACTCGGAGGGAATGGCTTTTGTATGAACTTTTTGGCATCCAAACCTTTCAAGACCGGGGGTGCCCCCGTTATTTGATCAACACGGGAGTTATAAGTTTCCACTTTTTTGTCATTATCCTCAATTTTCTTCTCTCCGGACTCGATCCTCTTGGTAATTTCCTCGAGCATCCTCATAATTGTGGGATCAGTCCCCGAGCCATTACTGTTTGATCTTTTCAATATCGACTTAGTACGGCGGGTGATTCCTAGTTCGACCACACTTGGAGTTTTTTGCTGACTTTGAATTTGGGCGATAGTAATCTTTTGGGCTTGTAATATATCGAATATTACTTGGAGGCTAACTCCCATGTCTTCTACACCCTGAGTTCCTTGGCCACCAGTTCGGCCTTCTCTGCGTACACTCCCTCCGGGATCCGCACCTAAATCTGCATTTAGAGAAATGTGCGAACTGACATCGACTGGGTCGGCAGCATGCACTTCCCCATAGTTAACCGGTGGCACCCCGACCCCTGGAGCAATTATATTAACATTTTCTCCGTGGAACCTAAGACCGTCATCACCATGTACGGGTGCATTCTATGGGTTTGACATGTTTTATCCTGAAAACAAAGAATCTTTGACAAGAACAAGTGTGAAAATAACGTGTGTTATCAGAATCAGTACTGAAATAACCACTATTATCTTTAGCCCCACGGTGGGCACCAAACTGTTTACCTCGAAAATACGAGTAACAATTAAACTGATTTATGGTTTTAAAGATATGTGATTTAGTTCAATACTAATTAATAACCAAAAAAACTAACGTATAAATGAAGGAAATAAGTAAAATAAAACCAGTGTGCGAGCCAGTCTCGACCTCGAGCTAAGATGGCCTCGAGGTGGGTTAAGAACAGTAAAGTAAGAACAATCAGGTTAAAGGACAATTCTGATGAACAATGAACAAGAAAGTAACAGAGTATATTCTTTGCCAATGATTGATGATGGTTACAAATGATTGGGGTCCCCTTTATATAATAGGGGAACCCTAAATAAGGTATATTTCTATTTACAGTAAGGAATCTTATTGGGACAGTTGTCTAACCGCCTAGTACGGATTAGTACTAATTCGTACAAATCTATTCCGGAATTTACGCCATGATCTTGGGGACGTAGCAGGAATCTTGCTCATTCTGTTACAAACTCATAGCAGCACCATCTCGGGGTTGGTCATACTTGGCTTCGGCACTCGTCGTGCACTCCGATCTTCGATTCTTATGTTCTGCCCTCGAACTCGAACACGATCCATACTAAGCTTATCCCTTGATGCGAGCCCTCTGTTCCACGATGCGAGCCCTCGAGCCCACAAAATCGGGAACACATGATTTTACCGTATACAATAATATTCTCATTTAAGCCACAAAATCATGGTCTAGCAGTGTAGTAAGAAGTACTGCCATTGTGTACTTGACAAAGATGTATATCATACGGACTTTATTGCCTTATCGGTCCTTGATGCTGCTTAAAATATATACTGTGATTTAGATATACATTCTTAGTCTAATTGCTTGATTCTTAAGTAATTTTTTACACTATTTGATATGGTTTGTCGTTACTTTGTGTTTTCAATAGTATTGGAGTTCGAAAGATGGAAAAAGCAACCAAAACTGAGCTTAAAAGGCAATAAGTGCAGCTGGTGCAAATATGCTTAGTTGTGCGAACGGTATGTTATAGGTTTGCCGAATTTGTTCAGCTTAGTATTGTTAGGTGTTGTCTTGATTTTCTTATCATATTTGGTTTTCATATCTCTTGAGGGAAAGGACAACATATTTACTATAATTGGGTTTTCTTTTTTGTATAAGGAAATTATAATTCTCCTATATTTGGCTGGTCCTTTTTCTTGTAGGAAAAGGTTTGGACTTCTATAAATTGAGGATCCTTCCTTCTTATTCAGCAGAATCCAAATTTAGTCATATAGGGTTTGAGAGTTGTGTTTAGGGGAAGAACTTTACAGGACAAGTGTTAGTGTGTCACTTGTGTTTGCCTCTTCGTGAGGTTGTTCTCTCGAAATTTTGTACTCTCTTTTTATACAGTGGATTGCTCATCTCCGTTGTGGACGTAGGTCAATTGATCGAACCACATTAAATGTTTGTGTCTCTTTTGGTATATTTCTCTTTTGTTGTCTTATTTATCGTCGTTGAAGGTTTGCTTTGTTAACTTCCGCATGACACTTATTTTTTCGGTCCCAACAAATATGTATCAGATTTATGCAGTGTACATGCCGTAAGAAAGTTCTGAAGTTGTACTCTATCTTATAATCTACTACTTTCTTGATGTTCTCAGTTTTAGAATCTAGAATCTACATCATATAGTCATTAGAGGAATTATTTTTAGCGGATCTCCAGAATGAGCATTATAATCTTAACAGAAATGTTTTTGCATAGGCTTTTCATTATCACAACTTTGTTCAATTACAATAAGTTAAAATATGGAGGGATTGGATCAATACCTTTCAGCAAATCCTCCTTTTTTCCTGAACAGAATCAAGGATTTAACAAAAGTTTGAAGACTCATTTGAAAAAAGATCATATTGAGTAACACTTTTCCACCAAAGAAGATAAATAAAGGGAAAAAAATGGGAAGTCGCGACCAAATTAAGAAGTGCATCTTCTTCTGATAGGGGCATTGCAAAATCATGCACGCTCTATAGTCTCAAAGACAGCTGAGGGAAAGGGCAGAAATTTCTCAAGCATACTGTCCCTTGTGCCTCCATTAATTCTGTCGAAGAACAAAAGTCGATTTTAGCAAGTGTATATTGATGATGACTTTAACTTAAGATCAAGTCAAAGACTCACTTGAGGCGGATCTTCTGTTTTTTGAGGTGGTTCTGCTGCTTTTTGAGGAGGTTCTGCTGCTTTCGGCTCATCAGCTTTCGAATTCTCTTCAGCTACAAAAACAGCAGTGTTCATCTAGATTTTAGAATCATTCACTTACTTTATTACTGGAGTATATATTTCCAGGTTTAGGTAAGGAGAAGTAGAATCCAAAGGAGTTACGTTCTTTTTGGTTCGTTTGACACGAATTAAAGAGAAGTCAGTTTTAGCAATTCAAAGGTGTCAAGTTCATGAAAACATTAAAATATTACGAAATGTATGATTTGAGTCTCCTCAACTAGAGCTACAAATGTGATGGAATCTATCCTAAAACAGTTAGATAATTATTACCTCCATCTTCGGGCAAATCAGAGGTCCACAGTGTGAGGTTGTCTCTCAACAGCTGCATGATTAAGGTACTGTCCTTGTATGACTCTTCACTTAAAGTGTCCAATTCTGCTATTGCCTCATCGAAAGCTTGTTTAGCCAAGTGACATGCCCTGTAAATTTGAATTGTCAATATAATCCACATCATCAAGAGGACAAGAAAATCACAAGAAACATATTCTAGAGGTATTCATTGGTCATGAATTGTACCTTTCAGGTGAGTTCATGATCTCATAGTAGAATACGGAGAAGTTCAATGCAAGACCAAGCCTGATCGGATGTGTTGAAGGCAGATCAGAGTTTGCAGTGGCCGTAGCAGCCTGAAAATAGAACAAATCAGTGCAACTCTCAAATATAACTCACTTTAATGTGCTCAATTGATCATATAAAAGGATGTAGGTTATATATACTGATAACATAGGAAGTGTAGATAACATTATAGTACCTTAGTTCATTAATGTTATCACAGATATTTACCTAGAATTACCTTACCAGTTACATAATTTTGATGTTAAAACTAATTGAAATAACTTGCCTCATAGCCCTTCAATGACTGTTCAGCAGCCTCTTTCCTTTCCTGATCAGTCTTGAACTCAGCAAGGTAACGATAATAATCACCTTTCCTGAACCAGACATAGAAAAGAAGGATTATAATACAAGGATTGTATGAATTATTTTGATTAAAACAGTTAGAAAGGGTTGTTATACATTTGCCTTACATTTTGTAATAAAAGACAGTAGCTTCTCCAGTGCCAGAAGATGGAATTAGATGTTTGTCTATGATTTCTAGAATATCATGACAAATCTTGGACAGCTCCTCTTCTACTTTCTGCCTATATCCCTTAATTAACTTCAAATTGTTCTCGTTTCCTTTCGACTCTTCTTTCTGCTCAATGGAGGACATAATACGCCAAGAAGCCCTTCGAGCTCCAATAACATTCTTGTAACCCACAGAAAGCAAGTTCCTTTCCTCCACTGTCAATTCAGCATCGAGTTTTGCAACTTTCTTCATACTCTCAACCATTTCTGAGAAGCAATATGAATCTGAAGTTACCAAACAGAACAATGGTGCAAAGACTTTTATATCTCATTCCACTTGATGAGATGAAAGTCACAGTTCTGGTTTTGCATCCTCACCAACCCAGTCTACGTACCCGGGCTAGAGGAGAATCCATGATCTCGAGTAAGTGGTTTTAGAATGAATATGATCGATATGTAAGCATTTAAATCTTTTTTGCATGCATGTACATAGTTTGAGTTGGAAGCAACGAGTTCAGTTGAACCCATTTAACTTGTCCTAGATTCTTATCTGACATAGGCAACTTACATGCCCTTCAACCCCAACAAAAGAACCAATCTGCAGATAAGGATTTCGGTGTAGAGTAATTAATGAACTAAGATCAATATGTTCCAACTGCAAAACCAAGTTGATGATAAATCCAATTCTAATCCAGAAAAGTTTTACCAGGAAAAGGCTCAAATGTTAGTTGTTCTAATTATTACTAGAAGCGAAGAAACTGGATAAAGATTGACAGTTAGCCTAGTTGTTTAACATCTTCTATAACTGGATTAGATAGCTTTGGAACTCACTATGGAACAATATCTTCTTCCTCAATACAAGTATTACAAATTCTTCATTGAAAAGGAAACACAATGCATTACACATATTGATTTTCTCGTAACCTAGAACATCTTGCTTATTGGATGTTAGAATGGCGAGAGGGGAGTCGTGTCCATTCTTTGTTCGGGCTCAAGTAGAAGCACAATGAAAAGGGGAAAAAAAAAGAGGAAAAACTGTATACATGATGTTATTCATTTAATAAATAAATCAAGGAAAAATTAATGATATTATACATGAACATATACGTACTTTAAATTTCTCAAATATTATATGCATAAGAAACCAATACAACTGCATGTTGATAAATCTATAATGGATCGCACACGCAAAAGCGTGGATGAATTCTTGATGCAGGTATAGAGAAAATGAAATGCTTAAATATAGGATTAGTCAGGCCAGAGGATTTGAATATCAAAATGCTTAAATTAAAAAAAATAAAAATAAAAAAGGAAGAGAAAAGATATGCAAAGAAATGAAATTAACCATCATAACGTTCAGCTTGTTCCGCGAGCTTGGCCGTGTAGACATGAGTTTCTCTTTCCTTTTCTTTCGACATGTTTTTTCAAGCAATAAAAAATATTGATGCTGTTGTCGTTAATTGCGAATGCCAATAAAGATAACTGTTCCAATCACAATTCTTCTTCGTAACACAGGGAGAATGGATAATAAGGAGGAGAGACAGTTACAGCGTGGAGAGAGTATTAGCAACAAGATTATATCTCTACCGTTCGATTGATTAATACTAGTATTGGTGAAGCGCCAAATTCGGGATTTAACAGACACTTTACTCACGTAGGCAACGGATCAAATATGCATTCAATCTTCTCTGTCGGACTGCTTGTTGCCCCGCTTATTAGGTCCACTATATGAATTTTCACTTCAATACAACTTTTTTATTTATTTCTTTTTTTAATTTTATCCTTTTTTCGTCTCTTAAAGTTGAGGTTAACGTTAATTAATTCTTTCCGACTATCAATTTGCATGGAGTCTCCTTTGTGTTTAATTCATAGCACATCACGCCCATCATATCCCATTTTCAATTCTCAGGGAACACTCAGTAGTAAATTTTACATAGTAGTAAACTCCTCGCATTGGAAAAGGTAAAGATGATTCAGGATCGACTTCGCACGGCTCAGTCTAGGCAGAAGAGCTATGCCGACCGGAAAATTTGTGATGTTGCATTCATGGTTAGAGAGAGGATATTGCTCCGGATTTCACCCATGAAGGGTGTGATGAGGTTCTGAAAGAATGGCAAGTTGAGCCCTAGGTATATCGGACCTTTTGAAATTCTTGAGAGACTGGGTGAGGTGGCCTGCAGGCTGAAATTGCCACCTAGTTTATCAGTTGTTCATCCGGTGTTCCATGTGTCCATGCTCCGAAAGTATCATGGTGATCCGTCCCATGTGTTCGATCTCAGTCTAGTTGGACAAGGATTTGGCTTATGAGGATGAGCCGGTGGCCATTCACCCGGCAGGTCCAGAAGTTAAGGTCTAAGAGTTATCCTTCAGTTCGAGTGTAGTGGAGAGGTCAGCCGGTCGAGTCAGCCACGTGGGAATCTGATTCCGACATGCGGAGTAGATATCCATAACTTTTCACCAATCCAGGTACCTCTCTATGTCCGTTCGAGGACGAAAGTTTGTTTTAGGGGTGGAGAATGTGATGACCTGATAGGTCATTTTTAGTTTTAACCTTCATTTCTGTGTTCCGAGACCTCGAATAGTTCCGTTTAGCCCTTCTCGATTTGAGTGCGCAGTCTGTGTCTTTTTCCCAAATTTTTTAATGTGAAAAATTGATGAAAATGTGAATTTTAATCTTAAAAATGATTTGAGTTGACTACGATCAATATTTTGTGTAAACGGACCCGGATCAGTGTTTTGACAGTTTTAGTGGGTCCGTAACGTGATTTGAATCTTGAGTGTATGCCCGGAATCAAATTTGGAAGTCCCTAACTTGGTTTAACGTGATTTGTTGAAAACTACTAATTTGAAGGTTTAAAGAATTCCTATGTTTGATCGTAGGTTGACTTTGTTGCTACCGAGTTCGGATTTCGGTTCCGGAGCTTGGTATAGGTTCATTTCACTATTTATAACATGTCTGCAAAATTTGGTACAAAACGGAGTTGATTTGACATGATTCGAACGTTCGATTGTAAAATTGAAAGTTCTTAAGCTTCTTTGAAAATTTCATTTGTTTTGATGTCCGATTCATAGTTCTAGGTGTTATTTTGGTATTTTGATCGCGTGAGCGAGTTCGTATGATATTATTACACTTGTGTGCATGTTTGGTTTGGAGCCCGAGAGGCTTGGGTGAGTTTCGGATAGGCTAAGGAGTGATTTTGGACTTCGAAATCTGCCGGTTTTGCTGTTGTTGGTGTCTGACCTTTTGTGCTTCGAGATCACGAAGGTACTCTCACGATCGTGAAGGGAAACTGGGTGGAAATTACTCATCGCGAATGCGAGGAGTTGGTCGCGAATGTGAAGCAGTGGGGGAGTCTACCCTTCGCGAAGGTGACCATTCCTTCGCAAACACGTAGTCTTAGGAGGGGGGATTGGGAAGTTGAACTTTTACTCTACACGAACGCGAAAGAAAGGGGACTAAGCCTAAGCAAATGCGGAGGGTTGATCGCGATCGCGATGGCCAATTGGACAGTGCTCTTCGCGAATGCGTTAGGTGCTTCGCGAACGCGATGATCACCTGATGCCCAGTCTTTTAAACTTCTCGAAATCTGGATTTTCTTAATTTTTCACCATCTCCACATAAGAGCTCGGCCTAGAGACGATTTTGTAGAAGAATTTCATCTCCACTTCATAAGTTAGTATATTTTAACTCATTTTCTTCCATTTCCATCAATACCCATTGATTCCTAACCTTAATCCATGTTCTTTCATGGTAGAAAATTAGGAATTTGGGTAGAATTGGAGATTTTTGTAAAATTGAGATTTAGACCTCAAATTGAGGTCGGATTTCAAAATAATTACATAATTGGATCCGGGGGCGAATGGATAATTGGATTTTGGTCGTAATCTCGAATTTGACCAAGCGGGCCCGGGGTTGACTTTTGTTGACTTTTTTCGAAATCATTAAAGATTGAATCTTTTTCACTATGGGTAGTTTCTAAAGCTTATTTTGAATTGTTTGAACAATATTTGGTTAGATCCGATTGGTTTGGAGGCGAATTTTAGATAAAAGGTCGCGATTGAGCTTTGATTTGATTGCGGGGCGAGGTAAGCGTCGTTGTTAACCTTGACTTGAGGGATTAGGACTTGTTTGCCTGTTTGCTACGTGTTTAATGTGTGGGTACAACGCATATGTGAGGTGATGAGTACTTATGCGTTATTGTTGGGTTAAAGCATGCGGGTGGAACGTGTATTCTTGTGATTTATTGCATTTTTAATTGTGATATCTATACTTAGGTTAGGTTATTACTTTTTTGATCATTCTTTCCGTATTTATTGCTTATTTAGTAATTGTGGAGTATTTTGGAAGTTGAAGTTTGGTATCTTGGCATCATATTTGAGGTGAAGTACATTCTCCGCATTATTTATTTTCCCGAATTCATATTATCTTCATTTCATGGTAAGGAAGAGTGTAAAAGCCCGAAGGGTGATGCCGGGCCATTGCATCTATCTTATTTATTGATTAATGCATAGTGAGAAAGAGGGTAAAAGCACGAAGGGTGATGTCGTGCCATTTATCTCATTTATTCATTATTATATGGTGAGGAAGAGAGTAAAAGCACGAAGGGTGATGCTGTGCCATTCATCTTATTTATTCATTGTTACATGGTGAGGTTGAGAGTAAAAGCAAGAAGGGTGATGCCGTTCTATTTCATTTTTACTTACTCATCATTTCATGGTAAGGACGAGAGTAAAAGTACGAAGGATGAAGCCATGCCATTTTTATATCATTGGTTATCTGATTTCATTGATTGAAGATTTATTTGACTATTACGTGATTTCATAGTTGTCGTTGTTATCACATCTTTCCCGTTTTGCATGCCCCCTCCCGGTTTGTACGTTGTTATTCTCTCTTATTGTTACTGCTTCGTATATATACTTGTACAGGTTTATTTACGTAGGTGTCCTGTCATAGCCTCGTCGCTACCTCGTCGAGGTTAGGCTCGACACTTATAGAGTATATTGGGTCGGTTAAACTCATACTATACTTCTGCACTTCTTGTGCAGATTATGGTTTTGGTCCCAGCGGTGCGTGAGGTACGTCAACTCGAATCATTACATACAGAAACTTGAGGTAGATCTGCTAGCTTCCGCAGACCTTGAAGTCCCCTTCCTCTTCCTCTTCCCTCTTTTTCTGTTCATTTCCTTCAAAACAATTGTATTTATTTTAGACTCTGTTTGTAGAAGTTTTAGTTGCTCGTGTACTCGTGACTCCGGATCTTTGGGAGTATATATTATCACATAACTTATGTTGGTACTGTATTAGATTGGGTTTCTACTTCTCGTTATTTATCATCATATTGTTTAAACTGTTAAAAATTGGCTATTTAATTATCTCATGTCGGCTTGCTTAGCAAGTGAATGTTAGGCGTCAACACGATCCCGAGGTTGGGACTCCGGGAATGCCAATTAATAAAGAATTTTGGAAGCACTATGTTAATGATTGATACTTACATCTTGTGGCCAAGAGTTAAAACCTTGGCACTCAATAATGGTGGCTCTCGAGTACAAACACAATAGAATTACAAAATTAACAAAAATATTATTTAAAAAACAGGAAAAGGAGAAGAAAAGGATATGAATGAATTGCAGCATAAACTTTTGAAAGGAAAAGAAAGAATTTTGCAGCTGCTGTCACTACTTTATGCAACAGAGCTTTTTCTAATCTACGGTTCTGAATAAATTGTATTTCTATCTCTGAAGTCCGCCATTTGATCTATTCACAAGAACTCCGAGATTCAGACCTCTTTAGGCAGCTTGTGGCCTGGTAAGATCAACTAAATTCCACTTCATGACAAATGGCATATCGCAATGGACACTTCTCTGACACTTCAACATGTCATGTTTATTCCTCTTTTCTAGTGGAATTTAGGATAGTAAAGCCATGTTAAAAAAACTGGACAATCATAGGATTGGTGAAAGCGTTCATCTCAAATTTCTCTGGCTCTAACATCTATCGTCTTGACCGCCCATTTTAGTTACCAAAGCACATTGTGCTTTCTAATGCCATCAATCATCAATTCAAAGGATGGAGATGTAAGCAAACCGAAAATACAATAATTCATGCAACTTGAACAAGAAGAAAAACAAGAATTTTGGAACAGGGGTTACATTACAGCATTGTAAACCCACTTAAATATTCTACATATTATGTATGTGATTTGCAAACACATGCATTACGAAAAATATATCATTGTTATTTATTTGGAGAATATGCGTAATTTTCTTCCACTAATAATCTGACCGAAAAGCTGATTGATAAGAAAATACACCAGAATATTTCACTATCAATTAAGAAGAGGTAGAGGAAATATCTATATTGCCCTATTTTAGTTGAATTATTGCATATATGTCGTACAAGTCTTAAAAATATAAAAGACAATGGCTTTACCAGTCATGCAGAATACCAGCAAAACCTCGATCAAGTATGAGAGGAAGTGTATTACGCGCCCCGAGAGGCACAACATTCAT